CTGGTTAATTCCGTGGACTCCATAACGAGGTCCCTGCCTGTGCGCCGGGGCCTGTGCACACAGCTGGAGGGGACAGGAAGAACTTCCTGACTCAGCGGCTTCTGTTTGCCCTCATTAGTCACTGGAGGGACAGAAGCCAACCTCCCGCAAAATCAGCAGAATCTTTAAGTTTGCCTCCATCAACTCCACCTCCCTTTCAGAATCTTTTCCACATGAGCTTCAGGCCCCTTTTCCCTATCAAAGCAAGGAGGATAAAATTTAACATACTGTAAAGCAATGGAGCAAAAACATGTTTCCTGACAGTTGCATTTTAAGCCTTTTGTGGATTTGCAAGTGATTTAAGTGATGTGAAGCCTTATCACAAGCTATTTTCTATTCCTTTCCTCCAGGGTTACAACAGCAGCCCACCTACTATGTTTATTTGTAACAGTTGTGCAAATGCCATTGCCCTAAATAACCCAGAACCAATGTTTCTCAAGCCAATTACAACATGCAGGGCGACAGTCTTAAGGGGGTCTTAAAATGCAGATTCCCAGTCAGCAGGCCTAGCGGGCTCTAAGATTGTAACAAGCTCCCAAGACCTGATGCTTGGTCCATGGATTATACTTTCACAGCAAGACCTTGAAACCATCTGTTAAATGAGATTTTGCACTTTGCCAAGTATTGTTCTCACGTGCTGGTGGAACCAGACAGGCTCCCGTGTTCTCGCAGGTGCGCTGACTTCTAAGTCTCGGATCAGTCGGAGTCTTCAGTAGCTTGTTCTATGTGGTCTTCCTCCCAGTCAAAGTCTGGGCAGACTTCCTGGTGGGATGGGCCATTAGTCGACTGCGAGAAAGGTAAAATTGACTGGAACTACAATCTCAAAAATAAGTCTGTTCTCTCACAATTTATAGAATTGGCAAAAAATAAGCATCCAGGACATTAGAAATAAAGACAATCACATCAAATACTTTGGAGGGGTTAAGCATACTGTTTAAAGAGATATCTTATTAAGATTTCTAAATCTTATTAAGATGATCTAAATGTATGATTTAAGTGAATAAGTGAACATAACCAAATAAGAAGGAAAAATATGGGGAAATAATCGCTGAGAATAATTATGCTTTTATGTAAACACAATAGACCTCCATAGCTGACCACGTCCCTGCATTGACCACCTCCTTAAGTTGACCTCACTTCCATAGACCAGACCTGCCCATCTGCACCGCAGGCCTAGTTCCTTAGGTTGGCCACCTCCATATGTTGGCCACTTGGTACAGTCCCTTGGGTGGTCGAGTAATGGAGGTTCAGCTGTGATTTCCTTTCTGGTAAGTCCTACTTTAGACTCCTCTGGCCACCGCAGGGAAACCAGCAAGACTCCTCTGTGCAAGCCTGCTTGCTCCCTTTTCCCCTTCTTGGCAAAAGCCCCCGGCTGTGCGCTGATGATAGTGATGGCCAGCAGGGGATTCTAGGAGGAACAGGCTACTTCCAATTCACACAGCACTCTGCGCCCTCGCCGGCACCAGCAACAACAGCAAAGTCAATGCACAGGGCTGACTTTGCTTCTGGTCCCCCCACACCGGGCATCCCACATTTCCCTTAAACTATTGACACCTGTTACATCCTTTCTTCTATTTCACAAGAAACGAACCAGCAGATAACAACACGAATGGATAAATAACAATCAGCAGTAATGAGAAAATGTCAAAGCAGTTGATTATCTAATGACAGTAACATCTGACGTTTAATGGTCTTGTGGTGTGGTGCTCGGCTGTAAGAATAAACAGCAGGAATTAATTTATGCCTGTCTTGGGGCAGTGCTCAGCTAAGATGAGATGCTATTTTTATCCTCAGCTAGTAATAAGTACACGTGTTTGACAGTGTGCACGTGTGTGTTTCTTTGTAGATATATCCTGTGGATGTGATTTTATTTTATATATGCATACTTTTTTTTTTTAGGTTTTACAGTTTTTTTTTTTTTTTTTTTAGACGGAGCCTCAAGCTATCCCCCTGGGTAGAGTGCCATGGCATCACGCTCACAGCAACCTCCAACTCATGGGCTCAAGCGAGTCTCCTGCCTCAGCCTCCCAAGTAGCTGGGACTACAGGCGCCCACCACAACACCCGGCCATTTTTTGGTTGCAGCCATCATTGTTGCTTGGCGGGCCCGGGCTGGGGATTCGAACCCGCCACCTTAGGTGTATGTGGCTGGGGCCTTAGCCACTTGAGCCACAGGCGCCGAGCCTTTACAGTTATTCTTGATTAATATGCTAGAAGCTGTGCCATCCAGTATGGCAGCCACTAGCCACATGTGGTTGTTGAGCATTTGAAATATGGCCAGTGTGAAATGAGATGCGTCCTAAGTGCAAAATTCACATAAGATTTTGAACTTAATATAAAAAAATTAAAAATACAAAATATCTCTTTTGGCCAGGAGCAGCGGCTCACACCTATAATCCTAGCACTCTGGGAGGCCGAGGCAGGAGGATTACTTGAGCTTGGGAATTTGAGACCAGCCTGAGCAAGTGAAGGTTCCTGTCTCCACTAAAAATAGAAAAACTAACCAGGCATCATGCTGGGCACCTAAAGTCCCAGCTACTTGGGAGGCTGAGTTGGAAAGACTGCTGAAGCCCAGGAGTTTGGGGTTCCTGTGAGCTAAGCATTATACTGTAGCTTGGGAAACAGAGGGAGACTCTGTCAAAAAAAGAAAAAAGAAAGGGCAGCGCCTGTGGCTCAAAGGAGTAGGGCAGCGGCCCCATATGCCAGAGGTGGCAGGTTCAAACCCAGCCCTGGCCAAAAACTGCAAAAAAAGGAAAGAAACAAAGAAAGAAAGAGATAAAGATGTAGACTTAAAATACTTGTAATATTTTTATTAATTGTTGAAATATATTTGAGATATCATAGGTTAAATAAAATGCATTACTAAGTTGACTTTACCCATTCCTTTTTGCTTTTTAGCGTCCTCACCAGACAATTTATGATCACTTACGTGGCTTGCTTTGTACTTTTGCTGGGCAACTAGAGGTATTGGTCAGAGGTTAGTGGTAACAGACGAGGTGTCACCTCCCCCATGCCTGCTTTTATCTTAAGGTTCATGTCTTAATGTAAACGGGGGTGGGGGGTCGGTGGGGGGTCGGTGAGGGGTTCTCAGCCCCGTTTTCACAGTAGAAGCACCTGGGAAGTTTAAGTAAATGTAGCTGGCTGGGTCCCATCTACAGAGGTTCTGATGTTCTGGGCAGCTGGGGCATTGGAGTTTCAAAAGTCCCCCAGGTGATTTCAAGGTGCAGCCAAAGCTGAGAACCATCTATTCTGGTAGGAACTTCAGGGGACATTGAGTCTGGGACACACACAGTGTGGGCGGGGCATGTTTGCAGTGGGGCCAGGTTCACCCTGAGTCTCTGGCTGGAACTGAAGAAAGAAGCTGTAAAAAGGATCAGAGCCTGATTTTTGGCAAGGAGGCTTGGCATAGATTAAGAGCATTTTAAAACCTAATGTTTGATGGAAAATCCACCGGGCAGTCGGGGGATGGTAAAAAGAGGGATGCCCCCCACCCTTTCACGTCTCCAGCTTGTCAGGGTTAATTAAACAGCAAACTGCACTTTTAGCCTCAGATTCACCATCATGAAAATGATCTGAAAAATTATATTTAGGGTTTTACTCTAAATATAATTAAAATGGCCAGATGATTGAAATACCTGTGTTCCATACACACCCCATGCTGTTTGTGTTAGACTTTGGGGGTGTGACCAGGGGTGCCATAAAAATCAGAGCACCCTCTCATCCCAAGCTCCCCGCCCCCCAGGAAGATGAGGGTGAGAGCCAAGTGAGGTGGAGATGAAGCTGCGTTTGTGAATGAATGAAGCGCTCACGACTGCACTTCCTGGCCTTTGTGGTTTTTTACAGATCTAAAGTTGTAACTTCCACAAGATATGAACTACTTTAACAGTTTCTATTTATACTCTGTGTCCCTGGAGTGAGGGGATATTTGGCAGTGCTACAACATTAAAAAAAACAAACAAACTAATTCTTCCTCTGGTTGGCATTCAAAGACCTTCTGAGATTTGGAAATACACCCTGTCTTCCTCCACTCGGTGGGTGTGTATATATTTACTCTCCCTATTCCTTCCAACCTTCGCCCAAGTCTGTTTCCTGGCAATTTGAGAAGTGAGAAATGCCTGCGTGGGGGAAAAAGTGGAGACATATGTTGTGTGGCAATTTTAACAGGGAGACATTGCCCAATGACAAAACCAGGGACGGTCTTGTGACGCTGCCTTCTGCCCACGCTGACTTTTCCTGTTCCAATCTCGCTCTCATCCTGCTGAAGCCTGCTCAGGCCGCCTGCCAGCCAGAAACTGTGACTTGCTTTAAATCAACAGCACAAGAAAGAACTTAGCTTGAAGAGTAGGGAGCACAACTCCATGCACTGAGCTGTCCTCTTTTAATTCATTATAAGAGCAGGCAGCTCCTGCAGGCCTCATGTAACCTCTAAGTGTGTAGACCCGGCTTAGAGGTTAGGAGCTTCTAAAGAGGCTCTAAAGAGGTTAGCTGGGTTAGGAGACCGTCTAAACTTGTGTTTCTTTCCTTCAGTCAGTGAGCACTTACTATCTGTCAGGCATGGTTCCGGGTATGGGGAATATGGCAGAAGTAAGAAGGACCAAGCCCCTGCCCCGACGATTCTGAAACAGCCCTGAACTCTCCAGGGCCTTAGAGGATGCATGCGGACAGAGGCGGCCTGCACGCAGGGCCCCAGCTAACTCTGCCCAGATTCTCTGTGATCTGTTCTAGGTCCAGCTAAGCCGAGCACTGTACTAGGTGACAGTGAAACTCAGGTCAAGGGATGATCTTTCCCTCCTGCTTTAACTTCTGTCCAATACTAATGCACCAGCTTCTGCAAACTGTGAGCTTTTCTGTGTGCTCTCTAGAGATTCTCTAACCATAAACCCTGGCCAGGATTCTGGATTTTATGACCTTGTGTGGTGCATGACAATATTCTCACTCTAAAAGAAAAGAGACAAAAGAAGAATGTTTCAAAAATTATTTTCACACGTGATTATCATACAGTATTACAATGTATTATGTGCAAAATTCCATTTAAAAATCATTTACAAAAGGAAGTACAACATGGTATGTGCTGAGGGTTCTAGTACAACAAAAGTCAAGGCTAAGAAAGGGACAAGGTACAAGGCCAATCAGACAGATGACTATGCATCTTTACACAGTACGGGAACATGTTTTTGTAACTACCTGTGTTACACTGATATGAGACCCTCAGAGTCTGTGTCCCTGCACGCTGCTTTTATAAAACACGGATTTAACTTCACCATAGATCCTTATCATGCAGATGGGTTTTTTGGTGCGTTTCAAAACTTTTCTAATGTGTAACATCTTTTTAACTCAACAAAAGTCACATTATACATTACTTGGTTTCTGCCCCCAAATAATTTGATGCTGTTATTTTTGATTGTATGGAAGTGGGGGAATAGCATTATCATTCTCAATTTTTCGCCTCATGGGGTTTTCAGAATTATTTCTAAAAGTCACTAACATATAGAATAGATTTTGTCAAATCTCATTGCAAATTTACAGTCTTTTAAGAGTAGGTGGTTCCTCCCATCTGCTTTTCCAAGAGCCTGAACCAGCAGACTACATTCCCCAGTCCTTTTTTAGAGTCTGTATTTCTCTCTCTACCTCTCTCTACATTCATTTCTCTCCTTATTATCAGCATCACTTGTTTAAAAAATCAAAACAGCAAAACACCACTAAATGTGAACAAGGTAACAGTACATGAGATTTCCAAAGGCATTCTGCGGCCAGTGTCAAGAATATATTGCTTTAAGAAATCCAGCAGTCTCTCTTCACAAAGTCACCAAAACATCCAGTTACAGAAGAGAGACCTGTAAAATGCAATACTCTCAAATCCAGCAAGAGATTTATTTTTGAATATTAAATGTTAAAATCACATGCATAATTATAGAATATTTTAAAGTTACAAAAATATTTTAAAAACAAATCCTGACAGTTTACCTGCAACTGCTATAAAAATTTCTATGAAATATATAAAAACACAAAGGCTCTTTGTAAAAAAAAAAAAAAGAAGAAGAAGAAAAAGAAGAAAGGATAGAAGAAAGAGAGGAAGGATGGGCGGAGCCACCCATGGAACTGAGAAGTACCTGACTCTCTTCACTGGACAATCTTTACAAACACCTGCTGTTGAATTCAAGAAATGTTTATTCAGCATATATACATACACGTAAGCCAACCTAGAACCTGGCTAGGGGTAGGTAGCGAACAATCTCAGGACACTTGAACCATCATATGCAATTCTCCTTTGCTGAAGGAGAATCCTACCTACTGTTTCACAACCTCAGCTACTTGGAGTGGCTAACGATGCCCTTGGCCAAGCTGGCCTGTGGATGGCTTACTCACTGAACCGAGGAGTCCCCCAGGAGGGGACTGCTTTTCAGGCTCACACACACAGAAGCCAGGAAGCAAGGCCCCAGCCCCCTTTGGATGTAACACTGAGAAGTTCCCTGTGCCTTCTATGAGGTGGTGAGGTCCTCATCCTCGTTCTGGAAAATGACGCCGTAAGAATCGCTCTTGACACGCTTATAGACAAAGTGGAAGATGTGGGGTTGGGGGCGGCTGTGCAGCTCGGCCTTGATCTTTTGAGGGTAAGTGTCCTCCGCTAGCTGCTGCCACGTTTCGTCCACAAACAGAAAGAGGCTGTACTCCTCGGGGTCCTGCACCTTAAACTTCTCGGCGCAGATCTGACACACGTCCTCGGTGGTGACATACGGCCTCACGAGGAGGGTCTTGCCCGTGCAGCCACTGCCGACCTCCTGGAACGCAACTCGGAGGTAATTCTGGGAAGAAAGAAGCAGGGTAAAGTCAGGAGAGAAAGCCATATCGGGCAGTGAGGGAGTGTGGTGGGAGACACGGGAGGCTGAGGGGAGCCATCAAGGCTCTGGCTTGTCACAGTGTGTAATGTCAGGCTGAGAGGCCTCCCGTTGCAACAAGGTTGGACTTGACTTTGGACAGTGAGGAGCTGGCTTGTCTACTGTCCAACAAGATGGGCTGAAGGCCACATTTAATTCTGTGCAAATACATGAAGCAGGAAGTCCTGCTTCTGATCTTCCAGGGTCTCTCATAAAGCCTGGCTGAGAAAGCCCTGGTTTCGAGTGTGAACCACATCAGATGCTGGGCTTGTCCCCAGCTGGAAAAATAAACCAAGTAGCAGAAGAGTCTGATCTGGAAGTCAGCAAGCTGAGATTTAAGATACCTGGATGTAACGGCACAGACTATGCTTGCTTTTTTTCTTTTTTCTCTTTTAGAGATAGGGTGTCACTCTGTCGCCCAGGCTGGAGTGCAGTGGTACGATCAGAGCTCACTGCAGCCTGGAACTCCTGGGCTCAAGTGACCCTCCCACCTCAGCCTCTGGAGCAGCTGGGACTATTTATGAAGCTTAAGTAAGGGCAATAATGTAAGATGGAACCACACGAAACTACTGGTATTTGACCATTTTTGATCTCCCCAAATGGTGAGTTCATGTGGCTCAATTTAGTACCAGGCTCCAAGTGGCTCTGAGTGCAATGGGGAAACCATCAGAGGAGGAGCATGTTGATTCTGCCAAATACTCTGGGGATGGAGCCGATTAAGTGCACAGCGGAGCTGCGGGGACATAAAAGGAGACACCTGCGGGCTGGACGCTGACGTGAGCAGTCCCAGGTGCGCTGGCATGATCTGCAGCAAACCTGTGGGCCAGTGTGACACAGAGCCCAACCCAGCACCAAGAATCCCCAGGTCATCCTAGGTGCTCTGAGGTTTGTCACCCTGAATAACCATCCCATTTCCATTTCCTAAAGGGTGAAATATGGAACACCTGAAATATGGAACATTTTATCAGATGAAATATGGAACACCTGGCTAAATTTGAGCTTCGGCTAGAATACATTTTCTTGTTCTAAGTCAGGCAAGCTCTCCCAGGAGTCAAGGGAAGGGGTGCTCTCTGCCTGGGTACCCACATGGTTCCCATGAGGGTTGGTTTGGCTAGATAATGGGAGGGAAAGCCCTTCAGAAGGACAGCGTGCTCTGTGCACACAAGATACGCCCTGTCTGTGCCTGGGGAGGGCGTTGCCAGCCCAGGGCCTCCCCAGCAGGTGAGCTATGCAGGTGTGCACACAGACGGTCTCCATGGCCAGCACCTCTTTCCTGCCCACCATGTGTAGCTACCCTTGACCCCTGGAGGGAGCCCTGGGAAGGCAGCCTACACCAGCCATGATCTCCACCTGACTAGGAGGATAGTGAGGCACAAAGAGGCTAAGGACCTTGCCCAGGGCTACTCAGGAGGGACAGGGCAGAGCCAGCTCACTGTGGTCTGCTGCCCTGCCCTGTGTGAGGAGACCTGTGTCTACGGCCCCGGAATTAGGGGCTCCAAGTCAACCCTCTTGTCTGAGCTTTTGTATTTGCTCCTTAGTAGAGTACTAGAAATGCGCCTTGGAGGTTATATTCTGAGCACATGTGCAAGACGGGGGCTCCACAGAAGGGAGGGGCTCCTGGATGTCCAGGGTCTCCAGACGGAGAGAGCTGCCAGGAGGAAGGGGCCGGCAGCAGGTGGGGGTGTGGGAGAAGGAGCTGTTCTCACTTCCCCTCTTCTCTCCAGAGGGTGCATCACCCCAGGAACCTTCTCCCTGAAAGCCAGAGTGGCAGCACCCCAGGGCCTGCACGGCGGGAGTCACTTAACACACAACCTGTGTGCTTTAGGGGAGAATCCTGGAGAAGACTGAGCGGATCCCACCTTTCAGTGATGGGCTGACTTTGAACCAAATGTACCTTTTTATTATTATTATTATTTTCAGAGCATTAAGGAGGTAAAAAGAAAAAAAGAAAAGAAAAGGCCAGGAAGGTGAATCTGGATGTGGAGATGAATCTGTTCTGCTTTTCCTGTTCCCTGCTGGGAAACCCACCATGTGGTGCTCAGAAACAGCACAGTCAGGCTTTATAATTCAATTAAAACCTTCAAAGTCGCATTCAAAGACATTTGCCAACTCACTCCTGCTTTCATAGAGTATGAATAAGTCAGGAATTGTCATGTTAGGTAAAGATTCCACAGCCCTAACTCACCTCTTCTCTATAAGACACAAGCTCATTGGGGATCCCACATTCCCAGACCAAACTGGGGTCATGAACAACTTCAGCCTGGGAGCCGGAGCGGGACTTACTCAGATGCTCACCTGCTCCCTCTGGCCCTGAATAGCTGCTGCTGCTGGCTGCCCAGATTCTGGAATCTTCCCTCTTAGGGAGTGGGCAAGAGAAAAGGAAGGAGAAAAGGAAGGGCACGACTGCCCCTCTCCCAGTCCCCAGAGAGAGGCCAGGCCCCAGTGCACGGCTGCCCCTCTCCC